AGGAGGGTCGAAATTGGGTGTCAACAAAGCATATACCTCATTTCTAAGTGCATTGAGTCACCCCTAGTTTTCTCAAATGTAGGTCAACTAGTTAAATTATATTAAATTATTATGTATTTTTGGTATAATTTTTTTCATCTTATTTATAATTATATTCAAGATTTAAAATTATTAATTTATGCATGACGCCCTGATTATTTCAATCTCAACATGAATAATAATATTTGGACGAAACTAAAGGGATGATAACTTTAAGCGTCTAATATATATATTACTTACTTCACTCGTGATCTATTTAAGTGCTAAACAAAATAAAAACTCTTCAACATCATCATAAGATTAATAATAACGTATTCATTAATCAACTCAATCAAAATTACAATCAACAATTTATTCAAAATATACATATATAGATTAATTACTTCACTTAACACACAAAGATATAGTACAATAATGTCATAATAAGACATTAATTTAGAATTATTTCCTCATCACAATCACTACAATTCAAATGAATTGGTAGTACTTTTATTCTTTCACACACAAGATAACACACCATTTAATAATTTATTTATGATAATTTCATATATTAGACTTAGCACTTGCGATAGCAAAAACAATAACGAAAAAAACCTTTTCTAACACACTCACCCTTGGTTACCCTTGAATCCTCTATTTTGCACTTTTTGTTACAAATCTCACTAAACAAACAAAATTTAGTACGATATTCATGGCTCCTCCAATAGCAAAGTTTCCCTTCAACAGCTTGCATCTCTGCATGAAACTACTTAATTATCATAAAAATAAAAATTGGTTAAAATCATTTATTAGAATTGAAATATATAAATTTCTCTTCAAAATATTAAAGATTATATACTCCTATTAAAAAATGACAAAAAGTCCCACATCGCTGGTTAATGAGATGGGTATATTCCTTATAAGGATTGAACAATCCTCCTCTCTTTGAGCTAGCTTTTGGGGTGTGAGCTAGGTCTGAGACCTAATTTCACATTGTATTAGAGCAAGACTCGTCTCACCCGATGTTGGGACTCCCAAAAAGCACAAGATGCTAGGCCGTGAGGTGGGGTGTTAAAGAATGATAAGTCCCACATCGATGCTAAATTAGATGAGTCCTTCCACAACTCCCTTTATCCCAGTTTATATGACTCATCTCCTTTTTCGTTAGTCCCAAAAATAATACAAACATTTCTATATTAATAGCAATTTAACTTTAAAATATTTATTTTATTCTTAACAAAATGATTTATAATCACATAAACATCTGACATTTATTTCAAATCATGATAGATGCTTTGTTGGATTTTAATACATGCTAGTGTAGCATATTAATATTAGTAAAATGTTGGTGGATCATTCTATCAATTTAATTTAATAGGTGTTGCACGTTGACGATATTTCGTTTGCATTTCATATTTAGTTATTTTGTAATTAACATTATTGTGAATAATCAGAGATATTGAAATGACAAATGGATTGAGAATTAAATACAAACCATTGGATGAAATGAGAATGAAGCATAAGAGGAGAACAAGGAATATTGTTGACTTTGCCATATATCCTATAGTTTTGATGTAATTAATGATCTTTTTATTTTCTTTGAAGTGATTTGTGTGTGGGAATTATTAAGTGAAGACAAGTAAGTATTTATAGCAAGGCCTCTCAATTTATTTGGTTGGCTTAGTCAATTGTTCAAACAAAAATGTAAGCAATTGGATGTCTATTGATGTGAGCCCCAAAAAATATATATATGTTGTCACTATTTGCCTCATATTTTAGTGTTGTTGTCAACTTCGTTTGGGTGCTAATTATATTATTTTTTGTTTTTTTGTTTTTTTATTTGGTGTTTGAAATCTATATTAAATTTTTTATTAAATTTAAATAGAGCATATATATATAAATTGTACGAAATGTATAGCTCAAAAAATATTTTTTATACATATATATTAAATCTTTGATAATTTTAACAAAATTTCTGAATTCACCACTGACTACAGAATCTATCGGGAAGTTGTGTTTTTAACAAGATTTTCTCTATACCCATGGCTTGAGCTCGAGACCTCTAATTAAGATACGAAAGAGTTCCATCACTGTATCACAATCTATGTCTGGTCTATATTATTTTGTGCTTTTAATATAGCATGTTGATGTGTAACGATAAAAAGGTGTGAAATTGAAAAGAAAAAAAAAAGACCAAAATTGAATAAAAGTGATGGGTTGGGGGGCACCTTTTTTACGAAAAATGATTTTGAAGAAAATGTATGTACCCTTTGTTCGTAAATAAGGTTTCTTGAGGCATATGAGTTAAAGCGTATAGTTGATTGCTCTTTCTTTCGATTGATTATTTTTTTTTAAAAAAATAAATGTTTTCTTTTATTATTTTCTGATGTTTTAATAAATAAGTATGAAAATATTGTATATTCTAAGAATATTTTATAAGTTATCTAAGAAAATTTTTATTAAGATATAGGGATAGAGAGAGGGGGGTTCGACGGTGGAATGGTCAAGGAATATAGGTTTTGATCGGTAAAAAGGTGACGATAAATTTAGAATGTGACTTATGCAACGTATGGAGCTTATTATTTTTCTAGAAAATATATTTTTACATAACATTTTAATCAATCAACATAAAATAAAAATCAAAAAATAATTTTCTCCGTACTAAACACACGACACCAAAAAGTGTGGGTGTTGAAAGTAATCAATAAAGAAAAAAAAGAGAATGAGAAAGAGAATGGAAGAGATTACTTGACGACTGAATGTAGAATTTTTCATCGATCGTGATGGCTGACTCACTCAACTAATTACATACCTTAGAAAAATTCTCAAATTATTTTGAACTTTATTATTTTGTTGATGACTTTTTTTATATTTAGAAATAGAGTATGAAATACGATTTGAAGGAGTAAATTAAGATGATAGAAACTATTCAAATGATGAACATTTCTTATTTCTAATATGAAAATTTAAGTTTAAATCATCGAGAGACCATTTAAATGTTCTTCTTTAGAATCGATCAACTTCACAAGATGATTGAAAATTAAATCCTAAAGAAATTACGTCATATTTGTAATTTATTTTTATTTCTTACATTATATCTTAGTTTACTATTCAACTTCTTGACTGCATCTTAATTCAAAAGAAGAACCATTAGTTAAATATATAAATATATATATTGCTTGCATTAATTATGTCAAAGTTAAGTTAAAAGTATTTTTAGGTAAAAGCATACGAAGCTTGCTCTTCCTTATCAACTATGGAAAAGGCTCAAATATGTCATCGAACTTTTAAAAAAGATTAATTTTTTTAATTAAAAAAAATGATGACGTAGCCGAATTATAATTGACCACGTGTCAAAAATGATTTTCCAAAACATCATTAAAAAATAATGACATGAATAAGCCTTTTCTTTAACGGTAATGACATAAATTAAATAAGCCAAACTTTTAACTGATGACATAAATGAGTCTTTTCTGAAAGTTTAATGGCATAATTGAGCCTTTTCGTTAAGGAAAATCTTCGAACCTTGAGAAAAATATTTTCCAAAAACTCTCTTCCAACTTCAAAATACAATTTTTTTTAAAAAAAAACCACCACCACCCCACCCCAAAAAAAATAATAATAATCATTTAAAGCATGTTTTTAACTTCAATTTTTTTATCCCAAGATATTTCTAATTTTAATTTATTAATTTTTACCCCGTACCCCCATCAGCCTCCTACCAAACACACACACTCTTTAAAAATAAAATGTAAGTTTATTTTTAAAAAATATTTTCTACTGCAAATTTTTATTTTCGTCCTTACTCTCGACCCTCCCCTGTCAGCTCCCAGACCCACTCACCCCCAAAAAAAATTAAGTTTGTTTTAAAAAATATTTTCAACTTCAAAAAGATTCACCCCTACCCTTCATCCCCCCACCCACCCCCTACTAGCCCCCCACCCAAAAAAAAACAATTTGATTTTGTTTTTTAAAAATATTACAACTTTAATTTTTTGCTTTTTCACTCCTATCCTCGACCTCCCTCACCACCACCAGCACCACAACCCTCCCCTTCCACAAACCTTCCAACCCCCCAAAAGAATTTTAAGTTCATTTTTTAAAAAAATATTTTTAATTTCAAAAATTATTTTCTACTCTAGTATAAATAAAAGATTTTTCTCAAAAATATTTTTCATGCATAAATCAAACACTGTATTTTCTACTCACCAATCAAACATGAGAAAATAAATAAAAGATCTACTTATTTTCCAAATAAACATTTTCTAAAAAAATATTTTCTTTCGTACCAAACACACCCTAAGTGAACAACATTTTCCTTTGATACCAAACACACCTTAATTGTAGATGAAAGACAATAATACATGCATCAACTTCTGGCGCAAAATAATGCACCATATAACAATCTAACAGCTGTTCTAAAATGTCAAATCCAGGCCTCCATTATAATAACATCCGACTGTTCCAATAGACATAATACATATATTGAATTTAAAATTTAACTTCAAATTTTAATTTTGACCTTCAACTTTCATAATGCACGAACAAACACTTTAACTATCCAACTTTTAAATAAATAAACACATGATTCCTATATGGCACAACACATGTAGAACACCACATAAGATAAAAAATGACATGTAAAACATGTATGGCTATTTGTTCAACTTTATACAAGTTTAGGTGTCTATTTGACAAACAACCAAAGTTGAAGGACATAAATATAATTTGAAGTCAAGTTAAAGAGCACATTTATGTGTTATGACGTTCCAATATTGTTATAAACAACATATCTACTCTAATGTAACAAAATATATCGAATTCCATAAAAAACATGATGGCCATTGTGAATTGTATTACAGAGAATGATAGAAGTTTTTACTATCATCCAAATGACAAACAAAGAAACCTCCTCCAAAGCATGAATGCTTCTACCATTTTCCAACATCCATCAAAACTGAAGTTGAAAAAAAGAAAAATTGTAGTAAATCATCAAAAGTTTGAAAGAAACTGTAATTTCCATCTCTCGTATTTGTCCGTTACCCTATTTTTCTGAAGGGTGCAACTCAGACCACGATTTATGATTGAAGAAAAACAATTTATTCTACAGTGATGCCATAATTCATGGCACCAGGAAAAATTCAAAATTTTCCAAATTATAAAGAGGGATACTACAAGAGTCTTGAGTCTAAACTACTCTCGAAAGTGAAGATCAAGGCGCCCACGCTCACTGCTCAATCATAATCCGCACCATCATCATCTTCATCAAGCTCCACTTCAGCAGCATCAGATCCTCCAAGGAGGGAGAGGAAAACTAAAACTGCAACTAGCTGAGTGACCAGAAAATATTTAGCCCTTCTACGGAACTTTTTCTCTTCCTCAGTTTTTTCCCTCTTGGGCTTGCTTTTGGGTTTCGAACCTAAATGAATAAATAGAACAAAACAACCATATAGTAGCAAAAACAAAAAAATGGTAACAGGACAATAGTTACAGTAAAATAATATGATAGTCGGAGTACAAGAAACAACAGAAAGTAGAAATCAAAAGACAAAAACTAGAGGAGCAATACTACACCTACTAATATGGACGAATAATATGACAGCTATCTTTTGCGCTAATTCATGTCATTCACACCCTCCTATCTAAAGGTAATTTCCTGGATAAGCTAAAATTGAGTAATGTCCTCTCTAATCATCTCCTCCAAATACTTCTTCAGTATACCTCTACCTCTCTTGAAACCATCCATAGCCAACCTCTCACACCTCCGCATTGGGGCATCCCTGCCTCTCCTCCTCACATGCCCAAACCATCTCAACTCGCTTTCCGCATCTTGTCCTCCACCAGAACTACTCAACCTTATCATGGATATTCTCATTTTAATCTTATCTTTCGTAGTATGCCTACACATCTATTGCAACATCCTCATTTCCACAACTTTCAACTTCTAAACATGAGAGTTTTTGAGTGGCCCATCAACACAGTTGGTCCAACTACCACCCTGTAGAACCTGCCTTAAAGGTTTGGTGGCACCTTCTTATCACACGCGAGCCTGTATTTATCCACCCTCCACCAATACGATGAGTGACTTCCTCTTCAATCTCTCTATTTTCTTGGATAATAGACTCAAGATACTTAAAACTTCCGCTCTTTTGGATGACTTGTGTATCATGTCCCACTATCCACCGCAGCCTCATGCTCTATGTCACTGAACTTGCACACCAAGTACTCTTTTTTTTTGAAACTGGTAACTTAAACACACCAGGTACTCTATCTTGGCCCTGCTCAAACCAGTATTTTGGGAAGCGAGAAGCGGAAAAAAGCGACGAGGGCTTGCTTCACAGAAGCGAGAAGCGAAGCGCGCGCTTTTTTTAAAAAAAGCGACATTTAGTATAAAAAAAATATTAAATAACTAAATAGAGGTAATATAGTCTTAGATTGAAAGAAATTACATAGGCAAAAATACTCATAAGTCATAACATGTAAAGCAAAAAATCGAAAACATAATTAAATCACAAAGATTCAAACTCCTATTCTTCAACAAGGCTGCTAGACTGATCACAAAATTGAAAAAAAAAAATTGAAAAAAAACAGACGAGGCAGCAGTCAGTAATTAGAAACAGAACAGGCAGCAGAGATGAAGAAAAAGAAGAGAAGAGAAGAAAAACTAAGAAGTAAGTCGAAACTCAGAGAGATGAAGAGATGAAGCACAGGCGAAGATTGTATATTTCAGGAGAAAAGAAACTCATAGAGATGAATTAATAAACATTAGCTAAAAAAGAGATGAACAAAAAGTTACCTGCAACCGCGGTCGAGGTTGAAGAGAGAGGCAGCCTCAGTCGAGATCGTCAGGAGAGAAAGAAGGGAAAGAGTCGTGAAAGAAGAGTCGTGAGGAGAGAGAAGTTTATATTTCAGATTATTTTTTTTAAAAAAAAGCCTAATTATTTTAATAAAACTCTAATT